TCCTGAAGGTAAGATTACAGGTTCACTTACTTCTGGATCAAGTAAGATAAAACTTTGGTGCGGCTGTGTTGACATTCACACTTCTGAAATGCTTTGATTTTACAGCTCTTTGATTTTTAGCACACTCTGTGGCAGAATTTTGTCGTTTCCAGTAAAAACAGGAGCCATATTGATAGGCTAGCTCTCTAATTGATCTGCTCTGTGTTCATCTTGTTGTTGTTGTAGCTGCTGCACGCAGACAAGAGGAGAGAATATCTGTACCAGCTGCAGGAGTTCATGGTGACGGACAACAGTCGCAACTGGAGATTTAGATACGAGCTGGCAGAGTATGTCGTCTTTTCTTCCTACTGTCAGGATGAAAAGCTGGAAACACATTTAACTTTAAGCTAACACTCGTTCAGATAGGCTCACATTGTTTTACCGTTTAATTCTGCTCTTGCTGTTTGATTTAACTTCATTGCTCTTAAATTGTGATTCACTTTTTGGTTGATTGTACTAGCATGTACCGTATATTTGAGTGAAGCACTCTGCTCCTTTCCCCTCTGCAGACAGCTGATCCTGATCATAGAGCTGTACAGCCACTATGACGTGTATGATTACCTCAGAGAGATAGCGCTCACACTCTGCTCTGATAAAGTCTCCGAGGTCAGGTGGATCTCTTACAAACTGGTAAGCTTACTTTGTTTGTTTGTTTTTAAAAACCTTCCACCCTGGATGATTTTAATGATGATTGGTGGGGGGCAGCTTTGGCAGCTTGTAACACATAGCGAGGTCAGCAGAAACTCTGGAAACTTTAGAGGAAATGAATCACTCAAATGGAAGTGTTCATGCGTGGCCTGTGACCGATGAAGTAACGTCCTGATGGCTGTGTTTGATCATCTTGGCTCATCTCCAAGGACACAGTACAGTCGACAGATTAACTGAGGGGAAACCTGTACCGCCAAGTTCTTGTTTGTGTAACAGAGACAAATTCATAATCGTGCTAAATATAGATTGGCTTTTCCTTTTAGATGAACTGCAGCAACTCACTCGTCAACTCTTTTGTTCTCAGGTGGTGGAGATCCTGCAGAAGCTTTATGCTTGCGGGGCTGATGACCTTGGCCTGAACTTCATCAACGAGCTCACTGTTAGATTCTGCCACTGTCCCAAGTGGGTGGGGAGGCAGGCCTTTGCCTTTATCTGCCAGGTGGGTAATGCTCATCTCAAGTGTCACAGTTCTCTCGGCTTTAAATGTCTGTAACTGCATCAGTGACTGTCCATGCTGCTGCTGGTGGGAAATGGAATAAAATAAATAAAGTGACAAACCAGATGCCATTTGGAGCTTTGAGGTAAAACAGCCTTCAAGCTGCATATACACGAAGTGTTGAAGCTGACAGCCAGTCACTTAAGGATATTCCAGGCTCTGGTTGCCTAGATAACCTTCTAGATTTAGTCCTGGTCAGATGGCAATCAATGATATCCTGTGTGCTCACTGGTGACCTCTTCAGACACTCACCTGGAAATTGTTTATCTCTGGTCCCACCCATTTCCTGTCGCCTGTGGTTACGTGACCCATAGTCACTGGATGTCATGGAATGTCATTCACTTGTCGGCTTGCCACTTCCTGTTAGGACAAAGCTGTGCCATTTAAGTTTTTTGGGGAGGGTTGTCCCCAAGGAGGTTTTAGTCAGCCCCAGTAGAAAAATCACAAACTATGTAATAGAATTATTCCCTTAAAACTAATTTTGTATGTTGCCTGATTTGAATAAAAAAAGGGGGGGGAAAAAAACTTCTTTTTTTTATTTGGGTTTAAATTTCTTGAGGCGGGGCGGGCTTTTGTTTTTTCGGTTGACCGGGAATTACCGGGAAATTTGCGGCCCATTCCCGTTTCTCCCCCTTCATTCCCCAAAGGGTTGTTTTTGCCCAGGGGGAAAAAACAGTTATTGTTCCTGGATAATTTATAATTTACTTTCCTCAATAAGAACATGTTCCGAATCAAAAACCTTTATTCATTTGAATGCAGTGAAAATTTGTCTTAAATGTGTCTCTTAATGTAAACAAATGAAAAGGAAAAAAAAAACATAAGCATGTACATGTCACATGTATATAAACCTCATTATGAATTGTTAATCATGTTAATGATGAATGTAATACTACATTACAATTCATGTTGTGGTTTTTCAATTGTTATGATGAAATGTGAACTTTCTCCTGGTGTGTGATTGTTTTAAATGGACAGACAATACATGCAATAGCAGTGGTTGTTTTATGTCATGTTCACGTCGCATAAGAGATGTGCAGTGACATGAGCGTGTTTGTCAGCTTTTCTGTGTGGTCAGATGCTTTCGTTATGTTGCTGCATCACCCTCACTGAGTGCATTTTGACTCACTACTTCCTGCATTTGGTTTGCTCTTGCCAAATATTTTCCATAGGCCGTAGTGGAGGAGGATTGCATGCCCATGGAGCAGTTCAGTCAGCATCTACTGCCCAGCCTGCTCAGCCTCTCATCAGACCCCGTGGCAAACGTCCGCGTCCTGGTAGCCAAGGCTCTACGACAGAGCGTGATGGAGAAAGGTAATCCATAAAAAAACTGACCATCTAAAGGTTTTAATACTTCATCAAGAAAAAGTACAGGGCATAATTGTAAAGCTGTCAGCATTCAGTTTTACAAAGTTAACCAACAGCACGTTGGTTAACTCATTTTTTCCCCCCTCTGTTATCATCATAAGCTTTTGGTCATAACATACTTCTCCCTTTGAGTGTATTAAATATGTTTTTATGTTGGTAACTATAGTGAGCTCTGAAATTTAGGTGAGTCGGTATTGTTGAAGTTGCGGTTGCTTTGTTTCTTAAAGTCAAAGTTACTCTCCCTTCAGCACAAGCTCTGGTCATTTGCTCATAACTTTTGACTCTTCCCACTAACTGAGTTTTGTGTCCAGCGTACTTCAAGGAGCCGGGCTGTGCTTGCGCTGACGAGCTGGAAGAGACCGTGATGGCTCTGCAGTCCGACAAGGACCGGGACGTCCGCTTCTTTGCCAGTCTGGACCCAAACAAAGGCTTGATAGACACAGCCCCCCTGATCTAGCCTCGGCTCTCCCCCTCCAAGCCCTGTTACAGCCCACCTGCCTGTCTTACCTACCTGTTTGTTTGACTGACACCCAGTCAGTTGTAAACTGCAACACCAGCACCTGACCAGATTCCCCAGCCGCTCGCCTGCTGGGCAGATTCACACCGACGACCACTTGAGAAACGATGGCAGATGTTCAGGTTGCTACGTTAAAAGTATGAGCATGCTCAAACACCACAGCTCTGTCTCTGGTTGGGCAATACAAAGCGCACATTATCTTCACAGCAACAACAATGAGGAGAAGAATAAAGGAAAAAAAAAAAAGAGCAAACTTGTGAATTTTCATAAGATGAGCAGGACTCAGACGTCAGCTGGACTGCTTTGCGTCAAGCTGCCGTATTTTCCACCTGAACTTTCCCTCTGCCTCCTCCACACTAACATCGACTCAGTTCCCCAACACAGACTTGTAAAACTACGACAGGCTCTCTGTCTCCAAAGCTAATTCTAAGCTTGACTATGAAATTGAGATTTTGTTCTTGTGTCTTTTTTTTTTTTCTTGTGAATTTCTTAACGAACAAGCAGGCGAGGCCTGCCTGACTCTGATGTGTGCACTAACTCAGGGGGACTCATCTGAATCTCAACAGCATTATTAGCTTACACATTAAGCAGAAGCTCCTGGATCCCTCATGGAAAGAAAACAAAAAACAAAAAAATCTCCAGCAGTCTGAGCAGCAGACCAGCCAAACCAAGTAGCTCTGCTGGTGTCTCGCGCCTCAGTTCATCTTAAATGCCTGTTGTCTCAGACATCCTTTTATCTTCTAAGATGTCCTCTGGGTTATTGTCTGTTCACTTCTAGCTTCTCATGTTTCTCCCCCTCTCTTTCACCTGGTCTTCATGGGCCACTAAAACCACTACTGCTGCACAGAAGTAAATGCGATTCTGCCACTCAGCGTAACTCAATTAAATTCATATCTTTTATAAAATAACAGTGACCTAATGAACTTTTGATTGCTTCCCTGCTCCGTGTCTGTTAACCAAAAATGTGACACAAACTGTCTCCCAAAGAGCAGGAGGCTGATGAAATACCTCTGCTTGGACATGACTGGCCAGTGTGAGGAGCATCTGTGGTTCAAACAGGCTCTGAATGTCCTCAGTTGGTGATTTATTTAATTTTATTCCCTGTGGTGTTAACTCAGACATTAATAACAAGGGCTCATGAAATGACACAGGGTGATGCAAAACTCAGAGAGAAGAGGAAGAAAGCAAGCACATTGATGGATGATTTTTTTTTTTTTTTTTGCATGTTTCCCCCCCTCAAACTTTGTGTGTTTGTGTGCATCTGTGTGTGATTGCGCGCGCGTGTGTAAAGGTCCATTTCACTTAAGGTCGACCTCCTGATATTGAGTTGTGACCACGGTGGTGTTCAGTGGATCCGACTGACCGGTTGTAAATTAGGAAATAGGAACGGCAGTGTTAGTAGGCTAAAAAGATGCCTGATCATTGTTTCCCTGTCTCGGTGGAATTATTTCAAGTATGAGATTTTTCAGAATTTTGGACAGCTTTGAACCTGTGGAAAAAAACATTATGGAACCAAGGCCAGTGTAGTCGGGTTTTCACCCGGTTTGAGATGTGTTATAAATATTGGGAGCAGTCACCAAGTCACTTTGTGTAGTCTCTCGAGCTTGTCTGTTCTTCCTCTCTTGTATATGGTAACCCCCCCCCCCTTTTTTTTTTTTTTCTGTTTTTAGCTTAGAAATAAGTTGAAAACTTAAATCGATTGTGGTGTGTGAGCTTTGCATCTCAAGTCTTTCTTCCTTTGAAAGGAGAGCTCACTGCAGTAATGGCGGTGTCCACTCATCTCGTCTGTCTGCAATTTGTGTCCCATCTCATTTTTTTTTTTTTTTTTTTTTAAATGTAGTAGAACAGTTAATATATACATTTTATGAGAATTATTTTTCTTTTTCAATTATGCACCACTGTTCAAAGATTTTATATCCTAACTTTACAAAATTTACAACCTTTGTAATATTCAATGGTTTCTTTTAAAAAGACATTTTATGTAATGTTATTTTTAGTATTCTGTAATTAAAATGATGAAAATTACAATGCTGTGTTGGTTGCTTTGTTTTGCCGTTATTGTCTGCTGTGGTTCAGTCATACAAGGTTAGATTAATCTGTTGTCCAACATTTAAATGTTAGTTAATGGCTAAAACACTTCCTGGAAATGAACAACAAAGGTTTGAACCACGTAAACAACTGAGCAATCCAATATTAGATGTTTAGATCTCAGCCTATACTGATTTATATGGAGTAAAAGGAAAATCTGACAACTAGTATCAGCTGATGTTCTTATACACTCAGCGGCTAACAGACTAACAAAACATTGCCTGGTCTGAGTCTTGATTTCTGCTGCAACATTTAGAAGAAAGGGTCAGAATTTGGAAGAAATCATAGATCCATCGTTAAGGGTGGTGGTGAAATCGTGCGGGAGGATATGACTCCAGCACAATGTCTGCCATGAAGAAATAAGACTGGGCTGAATATTAAATGTGTACAAAAAGTGCATTTGATAGTACAGGCTTGATTTCAGGATGCTGTAGCTAGAAGTGTTTTGGACTGATGATGTCATTAAAGCTGTAAGGTGTAAATTGCCACAAATTACTACCACTTATTATCCCCCCACCCCAACACACACACAGGTACATATACACTTGCTTGCACTCTTAAGAGCACAAAGTCTATTTATTATCACTTCTTTAAAATCTTTAGATTTGAAGCAGCAATTTTCTTTAGTTTGTTTCTTTTAATTGCTGATTAATATCAATCTGTCTTTACGGTTTCTGCTGTCCTTCCTGCTGATGGGAACTCCTGACAGAGCCCCTCATGTCTTTCTGAAAAGCAGCAGCTTACGGTCCCATGCAGTGCTGCCAAAGCTCTGGATTAGCTCCATGCCACAGTGTCTTTCTAGGTGTTCCCTGGCATGATCTGCCACATCCCCTCGGATCTTCAGGGTCTTAAAGTGGTCAAAGTCCGAGCGTCCCAGCTTCCTCAGCCGCCGGGCTGCGGAGCGATAACACTTCCAGGGCTGGGCCTCCAGCAGAAGGTGCTGGCTCATGGAGGACAGGCGAGAGAGCAGCTGCAGCAGGCCCGAGTCTCCGTGGTTTAAATGGACCCACATGGTCACAGCTAGACACAGACACAAGTGGAAGTGAGAGCAGCCGTGCAGGCTGAGGTAGTCCTGCAGCTGGTTGGTGTCTTTGGTGATGTCGAGAGGGATGAAGGTGATTCTGCTTGGCAGAGGGTTTATCTCCTCCGCTCGCTGAACTAGAGTTTCATCCAAGTCGAAACCCAGGAGGTGAACTTTCCTCCTATCAGACTGTTCCTCAGGCACCAGATGTTTGTAGAAAGCTACGCTCAGTTCCTGCCGTTCAGTAGGTGAAAGGAAAAAAAGAGGACAGCTGTTATAGAGCTGACAATTTAAAGTGATCCTTAAAGATCAGCCTCTAAATCTGTTTTAAAGTGTCTCTGAGGATGGTTTTTAAAGATATAACGTCACCAGAACTTACGTAATGGGTGTGATCCCTTATATCCAAACCTCTGATAAGTCATTCAACTTAAACAAATGTGGTATGAGGACAGAAATTTACATTTAATTATTAGTCTGCATTATAAAATGAGTCTAAACTCAAATATGAGCATTTATGCATAATCGAGAACATATCAAAAAGTCCTGCCTATTTAAAGGGGGACACTTAGGGGAAATATGGCCCAAATCATTAGTATGTATGCATGAAAAAACAACAGAGGTGGACTTACCCCTGAGTTACAGCCCACGTCCAGGATCAGCGTGGTCTCATTACTGTATCCTAAATCCCTGAGAAGAGCCGGTGGAATCAGACTCAGGCGGTTCTCCGGAGGGTTGAAGCTGTAATAATTTATGAAGTTACCGTAAGGAGCGGCGCCAGGATCGTTTATTTCATCGTCAGCATCAGCCTTGCTGCTCTTCGAACAGGTTGCCATTGTAATATGTGCGCCTCCTAAATGACTCCGGGTAGAAAACAGTGCTGACCGAATTATTATTATTAATTATTTAAAGTTAAATAATATCAAACTAAACTCCTTGTAAGTAAGATCATTTATACAAAGTACCAAAATGGCTATATATAGCTAGCATGTGACCGATAATGACGCTGTTTTGTTTTTAAGTGAACAGTGTTGAACAGTTTCCAGAGTTGAAGTCTAGCACAGCCGTTTAATGGAACTTACTTACTTAAGGGCTCTGGGTTCTAGGACGCAAGGGAGAGCCAAGGTGGCAACAAGCTGACGTTCAGCCTGACGCTATGGTAACGGTAGCCTCTGATACTGTCTGTGCGTCTATTTTTTTTTTTTTTTTTAAACTTTATTTATCACATTTTAGACATACAGTCAAGTAAAACAGGGATCACATAAAAGATGACATTGTGGTAGTACAGTGAGGAACAGAGAGAGTGACAAGGACAGTGAGACAAAAGTGAGTACAAAAAATAAAATAAATTAAGGGGAACATAAATAAACAAAAGTTTGCAAGAGCCAAAATCAAGTTAGCAGTTTCAATCGGTTATAGATGGTAACAGTCTTGAGAGCCTTAGTGTTTTTTGATGAGGAGATTGTCCTTATATATTGTGCAAGTTCCATTTTTAATACAAGAAGTTCAGGCTTTCTGCCGAGGACTTTGCTTTTGTGTATATGAAATTTTGCCAAAAATAAAACCAAATTTATAAAGAAGAAAGCATCATTGTCCTTGTCTTTAAAATTATAATAGCCAAAGATAACATCCTTATAGTATAGTTGAAGATTAGGGAGAACAGAGTCAGTAATAAACTTGTGGAAATCCTTCCAGAATTTACATGTAAATTTACATGACCAAAACAGATGAGAAACTGTTTCAGGTTGCTCTTGACAGAAGGTACAATTTACATTTATTTCAGCCATAAATTTGGACAAATATTGTTTGGTAGGGTAAACTGTCTGTGCGTCTACAACAGGGATGTCAAACTCATTTTACACAGTGGGACACATATACAGCTCAGTCTGATCTATAGCGCAAAAAAAAACAGGATGTGTTTTTTTCTTTGGTTTTGTATGAATGGCCACGGGGAAGCTCTACGCTTCCGTATAAAATAGATGAAATAGATTTAAAAAAAAATAAAAAATAAACATGCAGTTTAATTTTATAGACCACTAAAATTCAACTTATATGATCCTTCTCTAACGTAACAATATTTCACAATTAAAATGCTGTTATTATTATTTATTTATTTTTACCAGGCCATTTTTATTGGTTTCACAGTTTAGCAAATAGCCCTTCACTGTAAAATGTTCTTCTGAAATAAACCGTAGCGTCTTTATTAAGTACTACAGGGGAAATATCTAAAAACTCAGAGATTTACTCTGTGCTGCTGCAAACACTCCCGGTTAGTAGGTGGCGCTCTGCTGTTTTGCCAAACGAAGAGAAATGTCCCATTTCAGTGCCCGTACCCGCACCTTACGAAAGCGAGTCCGCTAAAGTAGCATAGCAGCTGTGCTGACATTGAGAGCGATAACGGTGGATAGCCCAGTCTCATAATTCCAGGTAAGAAAAGACAAAAGTGTTGTCCACGAGAGCTTTTTCGAGTCGTGTGTCGGTTGTTAATGCGCACGCACAGAGCTGGACAACAGCTGTTTTTGAGCTCATTGACAGGGAGGAGATAACTTGTCCTGTCTGAGGAGAATGAAAACAGCTCCCAGGTGTCCAGCCATAAAGTGTTTTCCGGTGTTCCACGTTAAATGTTTTTACGTTACCTGGTTAGATTTGTTTATATATTCCACTGTACCACATTCTGCATGTTACACGGCTACCGATCCAATCAATGTGTGTCATTAAATCTGTTTATTTTAAATGCTAACACCCCAAATTCTTATTAAATAATCGAGTTCACTTGTAAGGTGCTCTGTAGCCATCTCCTCTTTTTAAATCCAGTTTGTCGTTTTTTGTTTTTAACCCAGATCAGTGACTCTGATTGTGAACAAAAGCTTCAGCAGCTCAGCGCGGAGGAAACAAGCTACATTTGCTTATTTTGTGCAGAATATTGTGATGAAATTACCTTTTACTGGGAAGGCAGCAGGTGATGTTAAACTGTGACTATCACCAATTAACGTGGGCGTGTTTCCTCAATCAGCAGCATGCGTTTAACTGCGGATCTAACATGTGGAACTCGGAGATGGATTATGTAAACAAATTTAACCATTTAGCCTGTATTTAAACTGTTGGAAGTTACTTGTTATAATCTATCAAACATATCTCTCTTTTTGAGGCAGAAAGAACAATCCTGCCACAGGTTAGATATTGTAGTGCGCTTCTTGTAAAGTAAAAAGTTGAATTAACTGTAACAATGTGTTTTTCAGTAGAGACCTGGGCAAAAGGGCAGCTTACACTTCTGTAAAAATACTTTAAGTGGCAAAAAAGACTTGATTGATTATAATGTTGAACAGAGAAAAGGCACTATAATGCAGAGTCATCAGGAAACTAATATATATATATATATCTTTCTATATAGCACTTTGTAAATCCTGTTGACTTCAATGTTTACCAATATAAGATACTAAAGCTACAAAAGCCTTGGCAGGAATAAAAACTAAAAGATTAAATGCCTTACTGCCTCCAGGAAGTCCTGAGACTTAATTAATTTGTAATTAAGGTTGTAAATTATTTTTTGCTGGTGTGATTGGTAAAGCTGAGCTTGTTTGTGTGATAAGCAGGAGCAAATGCTTTTGATAAAATCTCAGTCATCTAGTTCCAGCTCGTCCAGTCCAACGGTGGGA